ATAGAAAAAAATGGATCACAATTTAATTGAGATAGGTATATCTAATTATTTAAAAAAACATCCATGAAAAGTAAAAAACATATATGTGTTGTGATATCTCTCTAAAAGATTAATGCCTTCCTAATATATCAATAGGTCATTATAAATAGTTTCTAAGATTAACTTCCAAAAATTATGAAGTTTTCTTAATAAATTTTGTATCTTTGATGACTTAAATACTTATTGGAATAAACTAGCATATATTTCTAGAACTATAAAACATATAATATCAAGTTATATTCTATTTTTTCTTAATATTTTTAGAAATATTTTTAGATTGTATTATATCTAAAGATAACATATTTTATGATTTATAGAAATTAAAGAAATCAACCTTATACACTAAATTAAAAATCTTCACAATATCTAAGTTTTAAATAGAATGGCCTAATTCAACAATCTTTATTCAAAACTATGTTAGTGTTATAGAGTCCGTCCTAAAATAATTAAGAACTTTGAAAATTTTATTTAGATAAATTTCAATATATTAATGTAATAAAAAATCAATCAATAATATAAAAAAATATCAAATTTGATTGTACTTTGTTATATTCTAGAATTATATATTTATAAAGATTCTTTTAATATTATTATTTTAAGATCTAAGTAAAAATATATCCAATCAAGATTTTTAGCATCTAATTTTTTAAAATAGTATAATACATTCAATCAATAAAATTAGATTTTTATTAGATATATTTAATTGTGAGTAATTTTTAATTAAATTTACAAAAAATTAATTATTTTTATTTAATAACTAAAAATAAAAATTAAAAACAGATGGAATTTTAATAAATAATTTTGAAATTAAATAAATATTAATAGAACATAAAAAATGATAAATTCTAGGAATTTAATAACATTAAAAAAACTAACTTTATTGAATATAGTTTCAGTTGTAAAAACTACAATAAGAATACTTAGTCTTTTATTGTTGTTGTATTATTAAAAAATATTGGATATAGAATAATTGAGTTTAATACTATAATATTAGTATTATATTTTTTATTATATTTATATTCCTAGAAAAATATTTGATTAAAAAATATACCAAATTCAAAGTATATAATGTTATTTTAGTAATAATATTTGCAACAATAATTTTAGACATCTTTTTATTATTATGAATCAAGTTGATTTTATATAAAAAAATAGATAACTATGAAATTTAAAGATTTAGTTTTTTGAAAAAATAAATTTGATAAAATTTTAAATATTAATATCAAAAATTAAGATAATTTAATTAGATATAAAATATTAAATTCTATTTTTAAAATTTAAAATTTAAAATTGATTGATATATAATAGTCTATTTATAGAATATATTTAGATAAATTTCTATTAAAATAAATCATGTTAAATATATTATCACCTTAAATATATTTTTGAAACAAAGATCTATAAAATCAACTATAGCATTATTTTAAGAAAACTTTTCTTTAAGGACATCAATGAAGTTTCAAAATTATAATAACTAATACTATTAAAAAAATTTAAAATGAATCTAATTCTAGTCAATGTTAAAAAATTCAAATTATATTGATTCTATTAAAGCATTTAATTACAAACAACCATACAAGTCTTGACTTAGAAATTGGTCAAATAAAATAAGAAAAAAATTAAAGAAAAATCCAAGAAAAGAATTAAAAAATAAAAAAAAGAGAAGAAGAAGAAGAAGAAGACAATGAAGATAATTTTTTATTTTAAAAAAGACTAAATATCTTGTTATTTATACTTTAGTAAAGAATGATAAATATTTTATGATCTACTATCAAGGACAAGAACATGATAAAAATAAATAAATAAGTGAGACTTCTTTCAAAGAAAGATGACAAAATAGAAATAACTTGATATGTATATTAAGAAAGAAATTGGAATGGCTATTGCTAAAAGCCAAGAAAATTAGAGACCCTTGAAACTAAACTAGAAACAAGAAAAAAGTTGACAAGAGTGAAGAAGGTTTCACTCTTGTCTCTATATATACTATTTAACTAGGGGTTATGTGGCAATGTTCTATAAAACCTCCAATATGCGTTGACTTTGTAGGACACATGCCTTGACTTACAAGGCAAGTTTTTCTACGTGTGGACCATATAGTTAGCTTGGTCTTCAAGCTAACAATATGTGTGGTACATGGCCAACTTGTTGACCACGTTTCTAATCCAAAAAGTCAATTAAAGACACCTATAAAGTCAAAATAGCATCTATGAAGCTTCTAGGAAGATTCTATAGTAAATATTATAGAATTAACTTAGTTTTATCTACTTTTACTTATTTCTACTTATTTATACATGTAATTACTGACTTATATGCATATGTCCATGATATCTATTTTCTAAAAAATATGAAACAATCAACATTATATAATATATAATTACCTTGCAAATAAACTAGGTTAATGATCATAAAAAACTTAGCTTTAATAAGGATTCATAATTCTTTCTTAATATAATTATTAATAAATATATAAAAAAATTAAAAAATCTTTAAAAAAATTATAAGATATTTATATTATTTAAATTTTAGATATATATTACTAAAAATATTTAGATTGGTAGAATTTTTTTGGTATTTTTCTTCATGATTAAAAAAAACCAAATTTTTGTGCTTATGCCAAAATAAATATATCATTTAGATAAGTTTGTAATTTTTTTAGTTTTATTAAAAAATTATTATATATGAATTTTAATTTAGAATTTAAATAAATGAATTAAAAATAATATGGTTTTATTTTTATAGATTTAATAAAATTATTAAAAAATTAATATATATTTATTGAATGTATGTTAGATATAGCTTAATAGACTTTTTTAATTTTATAAATTTTATAAATATTAAAATATTAATAAATTTACTATATTTATATTAGAAATTATAATATTTTTAAATAATAAATTTACTAAATAAATATAATAATAATATATAAAAATTTAATTAAATTTTATAAAGGCCAATAAATTTTTTAAAATTTAATTTAGTCTTAATTTTTTATATAAAAGAACTCACATAATGAGAGTTTTTTTTAGTATAAGATTATCTTATTATAAGAAATTTTTTAATTTTAAGGATAATTATTGGCACATATGTGAAGTCTTTTGAATTTAATTGGTACATTTTATACTTTTGTATACATAAGAATTTTTTATTTTAGTAGGAATTCCAAACAATTGTTGATAGTGTTAGTATTGATAAATAAATAAAATAAAAATAAATAAATTTTTTACTCAATTATTTGATTTTAATCTTTCTTTTAATATAGTAAGAGGAGATTAAAAATAATTTTTATGACTTATATTTGAGAAAACAAGCATATCGACTAACTCATGGAATATCTATTGTAATTTTTTGAAACTACACAAGAATTACAAGAAACCTTAGTTGTAGTAATTTTGGATATTACTTTGCTAAAGAAGAGGTCCAAACTTGACATGCCTATTGACAACAATGTATTAGTAAGATTGTTAGGTATGAAATAATTCATGAGTAATTTTAATTATAGATATTTTGAATGTTGTGAGTGATAGGTAGTCTTGCATGAGAGCATGAAGTAGTTGAAATGACATATTTTAGCAACATTTTGAACAATTAGTTGTAAGATATTTAATTCTCAAAAGTGATTCTTGAAGGTAATATTATAATATAATCTTTTGAGTCTTTTATTGAAGCAAGTCAATTCTTCAATAAAAAACTTGGTAGTGACAAAATATTTCATGAAATGAATTAACACTAGACAAGTGATAGAGGCTAAGACGACAACAACAATGACAATTACTCAAGTCAAGGATTAAAAACAAAGAGGGAGAAACATGGGATGGAGGATGGAGACTAAGAATAGAGATAGGGGAGGTTTAGATAGAGAAGGAGGGTTGGAAATGAGAACAAAGGATGGAAGGTGGAGATGTATAATCTTGGTTTTGATAGGGGGATTGATTTAGTAAAAGGTAATTTAATATATCAATTTAATATTTTTATTTTATATTAAATAATCTAATATTTAAAAATACTTCTATATTATAATTTTCTTAGAAAATATATATTTATATTTATGATTATATTAAAAACATTGACTAGTGGAACTGCATTTATTATTACTTCTTTTACTACCTTCCATCTATCATATGCCACTTTTATTTAATACTTTTCAAATTAATCAATTTTTTTTATTAAACATTTTAAAACTATTAGGTAGTAGATTGTGGTGGTAGTAGCAAAAATTGTAGTAATAAGAAGTTTGGTGGTATTAGCAATACCCTAATATTAACACCATATCTCTTTGATTATTATCATATATCTTTGATTTGCAAAGATGATTATGTTCAAAAAATCATGCATGACATTTCTAAATAATGCCATCAATGAAACACTATTAAATCTTCTACTACTTTCAATGGCAATAATTTATTTCTTAATTAATCTTGCAATTGGTTTTATTATTTTATTATAAAATATTCTATAATTAATTTTTTTAGAATATGTATATATTTTCAATGTTGTTTTACCATTCTACATTGTTTCTACTCTTTGTAATTTAGATTTGTATAGAGTTAATGAAATATACTTGAATTACTTGTACTTCCTCTATTTGCAGTGTGATTTGTGGTTGTTTTGCATATTATTAAAAAGTACTGCTAATGGCACTATAGTTTATTCTACCAAAACCACAATCCCATAAAAAATTGAGGCAAATTTTTAGTCAAAATTTCATCATGATTCACTATATATTAAAAATATATTACCAATTTTTATTTCAATAAAAAAAACTCTTATTAAAGTAAATACCAACATACTCATCCTGAAGCAAAGCAAACCACACACAATGATACACACTCACACATCACATCAGAGAGCAGGGAATTAGTAAACAAGTATATCCAACTACGGGAAGCCGGGTGACCATATCGCCTCTGCCCCCGCTGCACGGTCATGGGTCCTTCGGTATTTGACCCCTTCGGCCCTCTGCTCTCGGAGACCCTCATCGTTGAGAAGGCAGCGCTGTGTGAGGTTTTGTTATTGTTGTTGAAGGATTGTAGCAGAGGAGCTATCGGAAATTCTCTGTCCTCTCTGACTGAGTGTGCGGAGCTTGTGGTGGGGTGTGATATCGTTTTTTTCGGATTTTCTCTTTTGCTTAGTTTAGTTTTTTTGTTTTGTTTTGTTTTATTTTTCTCAAAAAGGATTTAAAGCTATTGTCGTGATTCTAAAGCATTTAAGAGAACGATTCCCCATGTGTGAGGCGCTGAGCTTGTGTGCAGTGAGGTTTTAGGGTCGTTTCTGTGTTTCGCGTGTCTGAAGAAGTTGTTGTTTCTGCGTTTTGGGAGGATTAGCGAACATTTGTAGACTCAGAATGTGTGTTATGTTTCAACTGCGTTCTCCTGGTTAAAAGTCGACGAATCCAATGAGGAGCTGCTGAAAACGCTTATTGAAATATTAGGTTTGTGAATCTTTTGGAGTGCTGTGCGGATAGAACTTTTAGAGGCTTTAGTAATCATAAAAGAATGTTGTGGAGTGCGTGTTGGCGATAAACCTCGTTGCCATAAGTGGCGTTCCATGATGTTCGAGTATTGTGGGAGACGATGTTATTCATGTGTTAGGATTGTTGCTCAATTCTGAAAATGTCCGAATTCGTTTTGCAACGAAACCGTTGATAGTTACGCAGAACACCTGCAAAGAATGGTATCGTCGAAATAGGCGTGCTGCAGATCTCCAAGTGACCTACGGTTTCCAGGGATGTGGTGCACATGAATACAACATCGAGCTTTCAAAAACAGAGCTCAGTTTTTCCTCATAGGCATATTTTGGAATTATGGGCTTCCTGAACCAAAAGTGCATAGGTTGCTGGGTACAGCAACGCGGATTTATTCCTCCGTACCAGCCATCACTGATTTTATCGCAAAGGGCATCTCTTCACAGGCTCATATCGACGAGTTTTATTCCCTTAAAGACGGAGAGGTGCAGAGGAAGCACGAACAAGAATAGTAGTTCGCAATTGAGAACTTCTGCAGCGCGATGTGTTCAGGATCGTACTGGTGATCACGACCTGAGCAATCAGGAGGAGTCTAACCAAAATTTGTCTGAGGCTCGAACGAATCGGCCCTCGTATGTTTTCTGAACCTCCTTAGGCATAATTTCTACTGTAAATCATTTCCTTTTTTACGACATGGCACTTTGAGTTGTTCAGTAGTTAGCCATCTTGTGGCCTGACCTATCTCTTACATGTGATAGGTTTGTAGATGGTATTCAATCAGAACAGTTGAAATCTGTACATGTTGTTCCAATTGCCGACTTTTGTGTTATTTGGAACCATCTTATGAAGAATGGAATAGCCATGGAGTCTGTAAACCTTTTGAATCTTGACAGGAAGTTCGTAATGCAACATCTCGTACCTAGAGATATTGTGTGGCGGATCTCCTGCAGCCTTTAACAGCAAGCTGTTGCTGGAATTCGTAGTTGAAGAATTGACCATGTTAGAATGGAAAGTTGCGCTAATATTGATAGTTGAATTCGTCTTATTGTGATTTTTTAAAACTGCAGGTCTAGCTACGAAGGCTCGAACGGAGCCTCATCCAAATATTTGAGTGGTGGTCCAGAAAATGTCTACAGGTCAAATAAATCTAATGGAAAGAGCACAAACGGAGCAGAGAACAGAGTCTCTGAATCGGAGAGCGCTGAATGGAAGAACGTATTTCCATCCTATTTGCAAAGCAAAGAAGATGAGTCAGATGGTGAAAATGATGAACTTGTGCAGGTAGTGTTGCCTGACCAGTAAAATGCTGTCACTAGTACTTTCTGTATCTCTCATCTTACAAACAGTACAATTTTATTACCATCCATTTGCTAGGTATGCAGATCTCTGTTTTAAAAATAGTGTGCATCTTGAATGATGAATCATGTAACCCTAGCTGATTCAGTCAGTCAATACGTACCCAATTGTTCCATGTGTGTCGGAAGAAGCATTTAGTAATTATTTATCTCCCGTAAACTTCTTATATGCAGGTATTACCTGTGAATCAAAATGGCCAGTCAAGAGGGAGAATGAATGGCGTAGCAGCTGCCAAAGCAGCAGCAGCAGCTACTGCATCAGCAAAGGCTCTTGAATCACATGTGAATGGTTTAAATTTTCCTTCGACTCCAGCATTAGCAACTCCGCCCTGCTCTTCAGCTAGATTGCCGACAGAAGGAAAAAATCTGAATGACCTTATCTCTTATGATCCCATTTGGGCAGCTATAAGAGCCGAAGCTCGATTAGAGGTATGTTCTATTTGACCAAATCACATGGTTTGAGCTGAGAGACGATTGATAGATAAGGGAGGCAAATATTGATGGCATTTATGCGGTTATTTGGATTTGAAAGATGTTTTATGTGTATCACTGCAGCTCCTTGCATTACAACAGTAAATAAGTTTTATGATGTTGTGGCAGGCAGAGCGTGAGCCATTGCTGAGTAGTTTCCTTTACGCCAGTATTCTGGCACATCCGTGTTTCGAACGATCCCTGGGTTTTGTTTTGGCGAATCGCTTAACAAGTGCCACGCTTTTGGCGACACAACTTATGGATGTGTTTGATGAGGTCTTTTTGACTGACCCATTTATACGACAAGCTATTCGATTAGACGTTCAGGTGAGTGATGCATACGTCTGTCTTGGGTCTACATAGGAATACTCTAATTGCATAGTGGGGTTAGGGTGCCTCTCGTTACTTAGGTAGACATTTATAAAAGGGCATCTTTAGATGTGAGAGAAATGTCTGTTGATTGTTCGTGACAACACTGTGATCTGCATGTCATGGATGTTGGTGCTGCATTATACCTCTTCACGCCCGCATAATTGCCTGTTGAAGCAATCTCGTTTCCCTGTTTTTATCATCCAAATTGTCGGCCTATTTCCGTGTCTTATTCTTGAGGGTATCCTATCAGTAAGTGGATTTTTGTTGAAACACCTAAGTTTTAACAATTTCAAGAATCTCCTTTTTTTTGTTTCTTGCATAATTGTACACTAGAACTCAAAGCACTGTGTGATACAACTTGATACCGGACCGAACCCGGCTTAGTAACTTCTGGACGATATGTTGACACTGATTATCGAGTTGGTGCAGGCTGTGAAAGATAGGGATCCTTCATGTCGTTTCTACAGCTCTGCGTTGTTGTACCTGAAGGTAAGTTGACAGCTTACGACTTGGTGATATTTTGTCCTCTTTGGCTTCTTGAACACAAAACTGTGCCTTATTTGCCGAGCGAATGAGCCAACAATCTCTTTTGAGCATCACAATATTATCATTCTGGCCGATGCAGGGGTACCATGCACTTCAAGCACATAGAGTAGCTCATTGGTTGTGGAACCGAGGGTCGACTGTGCTTGCACTTGCATTACAAGCCCGTATGAGTGAGGTACATTCAGGTTCTTACTCTTGAGTTTTGTCTCAATGTTCACGTATTTCCAGATTTAGTTGAGAGCTGGAATTTTGTCAGTATTGGACATCTACGAACAGCATTCTACTCCTTGATGCGAAAGCCATTAGTTCAATTTGCAATCTGACAGGATATTTTGGAATGTTTCTATGATGTGGGTGATTTTGATGTTTGCTTGTAGATATATGTGTAGAGAATGTCAACTCCTTTGTTATCTGGAAGATGACTTACCTTCTGTTGCCTTTTTGCTATGTTGTCATGCTCACAAAACGGTTGGCCAGGTTTTTGCTGTGGACATTCATCCAGGTCAGTCTTGATTATTGTATTTATAGGTTTTACTGCTGATCAGCTTGTGCATGGACTTTTTATGAGAAACATGTGTACAGAGTAAAGCTTAATTGTCTCAAAAATCTTACATGTGAGAATTGGCAGTAATCAAACTCTAGACTTGTGTAACAGTCATAAATCCTATTTTGGTTACTTTTTTGCGCTCCAGAAGCAACACTCTTTCATCTGGATTGTTGCACTAAACATCGTATCAGGCGTTTCGATCCATCAGTGTCCCTCCAGATTTGTGTAGTTTTGTATTTCCATCTTTTGTAAATGGAAAACATTAACGTTGTGATGGTTTTTGACAGCGGCACGTATTGGGAAGGCTGTTCTTCTAGATCATGGCACAGGTGTTGTAATTGGAGAGACAGCTGTCATTGGTGATCGTGTATCGATGTTACAGGTATTTAAAGAGGCTTCACTTCTCGTTAGGAGTCAGCAGCGACAGATTATAAAAAGGCAAAGGGCTGCCTTTGGGTTATTTGTTAGTTTGTTTTGTTCTAGTCTGAAAGTATTCCAGGTGATATTAGGATCCTTAGGTTTTCCCGTTCTTACACTTAAAATATATGGAGATTTGTATTTTACAGCTGCTTGAATTTTTTTTGAGCGGGCGACATGTTGATGGCTCTTGTGGATGCTCATTGTTGCTGTGTGCCTGACAGTCCTAACTGTAGCAGCAAACTTTGAGGTGTAGTTTGTATCGTATACTGATTATTCAAAGTCGGTAATGACTGTTGAAATAAGTTAAAGAAGTTTTATAGTACGAGCGTGTGTGCATTGTCTTTATATGGGAGTGCAGCATTTGTAGAGTTTTGCGTTTCCAGCAGCATGAGTACAAATTCTGTGATTTGTCTTTATACCGTTTGAAAGCGTGGCTGTTCGTCAACTTATTGGGCAGGGTGTCACACTTGGAGGAACTGGTAAAGATGCGGGAGATCGTCATCCCAAGATACAAGAGGGAGTACTCATTGGTGCTGGGGCAACAATCCTTGGAAACATTGTTGTTGGCCGCGGAGCGATGGTTGCGGCAGGGTCTCTTGTTTTGAAGGATGTTCCAGCACATAGGTTCAACCTCACATGTTCCATTTTGTATAGAACCATCATGTGAATCTTTCGTCAAATGTCATTTTGTGCTTTGTTTTGTTTTTTTTTTTGTTTTTTTGTTTTGTTTTGTTTTGTTTTGTTTTTTTGTTTTGTTTGTTTGTTTGTTTTTTTTTTGTTGCGAAATGGGCATCTGGTGGCTTGTACAAAAGCTCACGGCTCTTACCTGGTAATGTGCAGCATGGTTGCTGGAACTCCTGCCAAAGTTGTTGGTTTCTTGGAGGAATCAACACCTGCTGAGACGATGAAACATGGTAATGTGAATTTCTTAAATCCTCGTACTCTCACTTAGGCTTCACTGTTCTTGTACGAATTGATGCCGCATCCAGAATCAGTCGATTAGTAACACCGTATGGATAGAGGCATGGATTGAGCTTTTCTGACCTATGGCACACTCTGCAGATGCTGCTCAGGATTTTTGTCAAGAGCTTGAAGAGGCAGTGGGTCGCCAATCAGGAGAGAACCTGTGGGGAGGCGCTGGAATTTGAGCTTTCTCGCTTGATTCCAAAAACAAAGTAAAACAAAGATACATCAACCACGCCGAGAGGATTCGGTTTTTCTCAGAATTTGACCAGGCTGCTTCAGCGCAGCAAGGAACTAAGTTGTGACGTAATCCTATTCAGGAGCTGTGTAGAATTTCAAAACATATGACCATCGGTATCTTTTAACGCAAGCTATATTTCTTGTGGGAAGTTTTAGGTCTAGAAGCTAGTGAATTTTAGGCCGTCACACTTTGATTGATTTCTTGAGATCTAAACTGGAATTTGCCTAAAGCTATTGGTTTGTTTATCTAAATAGGACAATTTAATGCAAGAGTGCTAACATCTCTTGTTGAGCATTGCCATTTAAGAAATGGCAGATGCACTGTTTCCATCATTTCCAGTCTTAGAGACTATGGAGACACCGAAGCAGAACCATGTGCGTCGAAGTTGTCCTCATGGATGCAAAATTTGGTCCATGCATTATTAGATGGTTCACCTCTTGTGAACCCCGGTTGTAATATGATCGATTGCGTGGCGTTTACCTCTAAGTTAACGCGCATGTGCATTGCGTATGAAATGAGAACATTGGCAAATTCTTCAGATGAGAAAGACAGAATTTTTGAAGCAGCACAATATTAGCCCCTCAATGTCTAAAGCGACTGGTGACAACCAAATTATATGTCAACAAAAACTTGTAACACCTGATTATCATCAAATTTTACTGGGTCTTGCCATTTTATGCTGCTCTAGTCTCAATCTATATCTTTACATCTCTGTGACCACTGGCGGAGTATGTCCAGCCTGCGTGTGAGAAGACGTCAACTTTTTCCTTCATGGAACAAATGAAACATCTCCAATAGGGTGAGCAAACTGTACGAGGCTGGCGTGGTTTCTTACGTTCAGTAGTTGATGCAGTGGTATCAATTAGCGTTCGATGATGCACGAGGCACCAGAGCTGCACCCACTTCGATTGCTGAAGAAAGCAAATCCCGTTGCTTAATGAAAGATATAAGAGCTACTATCTTGAACAGGGAGATGGAGGTTACTATCATCTGAGTGCATACATCTAAGGCGAAACGACCCACAGTGATCGTGTCAAAAGCATCTATAAAAGCTTTCTGCACATCAATAATTGTAGCTGTACCTTGCTGCCAACTTCAGTTTGCAGATAATGTAACAAGCGACAGTACGTAGCTTTTTGGTTCATTTAAGGGGACACAGAATGTAGGAGAAGGAGAAAGATTGCAGATCTTTGTCATCGCTACGTGTTGCAATACTCCTATGAAAGCCCCAATTAAAGTTTGAACTTGCCTCCCGAGGATTTAGGGCTTTTCAAATCGAAACCCTAATTTCATGGTGTATGAAGCAGGTTTCTAACCAGACTTGAAAAGGAGCACAGCCACCTGGCCTAGATAGAAATAAACAAAATGCCTCGTTTCGTGGGTGACATATGAACCTGCAAGAATATAAATATAGGAGCTATAAATTAGATTTAGAAAAAAAATGGAAGAACATAGTAAACAAGTCAACATACAACTGAGTGCCACAGGGTAGCACGCCCGTCATGGTCAAGGTAGCATTTATCGTACAGAATGAAGATACGACGTACTTCCAAGTTAACACTTGTGCTAGATTCAGAAACCACTCAGAGCCCTTTCACTCTGGGATAAAAACTTCTGAAGTGAGATGCACATTCTCACTTGGATCGGAGTGCACATGCTAGACCCAGCATTGAAGCAATAGCAGTAAATAGAAAGTTGAAACGATGTCAATACAATTCCATGCCAAGTTATTTTTTCTTGCTTTTGATGACGAATTCATTCTTGAGAATTGCTGGAATCAAAAATAATTGAACTTTTTAAAAGAACTCACCGAAATTGCGTCCAACAACGCAGTGCCACGTTGGATTATACTTCTTGTCGAACTCCTTCTTGATGTAGGCTGCTATGTCTTTTTCCACATTGTACTTGTCGAGAGCCTTTACCCACACCCATTCCAACTCCTCCAAAATTAATTATGTAACTTTTGATTAAACGCCAATAGCCAAATGACAAAGCAAACATGCCTTTACACTCATTTGTACAAAGCTATCAATCAGCGTGTATATTGGTTTTCATAACCACTACACTTCAGATTGAGAGACTGCATCCCTAAGTCCTGAGAAGGCAGCACATTCGTACCATAAGAATGCCTGTAACATACTTTTTTTCTTCAACAGGAAGTGGCCATGATAGCCGTTTGAAATTCATACCTTATGGTGCAGATTTGCTGCTTTATAATGGTGCAAATTATAGAACAATGAAGGCACCCATTGAAATTGTAAAAGCATATCATATCTAAAAACTGATTGAAATAAGCACGTTATACTTAGTACAAAACATCATTACTGGTTAGCACCAGACCAGAGGACCTAGGGTGAATCACCACCAGGAAGAAGAACAAGCACTCGGGGATGTACTCATACCGCAGTTGCACACTCAATGGCATCCTGCTGCATATCTTCAGTCATGTCGGCATTCTTTATAATAGCCTTCCTCTCCAAAATGCCAGATTTCTCCACTATTTTCTCCGCCATTGCTTAAACTAATCGGTCCGCCTAGGAATCTAGTACAGAAAAGCACACAACAAAGTCAAAACTACCACGTGGGGTATTACGAACGAGATCATCGGCCCTCCATCTCCACATAATCTTCAACAAAATACTGAAAGAATCGCGGCATATACATCGAAGTGATGCACATTCTTCTATTGCGTATTTACCAGAATATCAGTCAATGCATCAAGCTGCGGTATGAAAACTGCACCAGAATCAATGGGGAGCCGAAGAACCATAGAATAACACAGAGTATCTAAGACCATCATAAGGAAAACACTGAAAAGCGCTCGAGACATCCCTACTCGTCAAACAATCAGTGAGCAAAACTGATTTGGTACAGAGAGAAAACGGCATTAAAATGTATCATACCGTGTTTTTGGCATCATAGCATACATACATACATCATCACCAAAGCGAAATAATAAACAATCACAAGTTGTTAAGAATACCTCCAAAAAGCACAAACAGAATCAACTTGGACTCAGATTGTTATGTGGACCGTTTTCCCGAAGATTCCCAAGGACGGTTAAGAAACACAACAATAAAACCTAGAAGTTACATAATCAACAAATATATTGGAATCGACGTACGACTTCAAAAGCGAGTTCCACATGCTTACAGGTCTCCCTCGCACACTTTGGGATCAACGCCTACAATTCCTAAAAAAGGAACAGTGCCGAACACGCAGGGCAGTTACTGCAAGAAAGGCAGTTCAAAAATTCTACGACAAATTCGCAAACGCAGAAGAGGACATCGTTTACCGACCTTAGAACTCCAAAAACTAAAAAAGCCTTCGACACAATTACATAGAAAACAGCTTCAAAACGGTTGGGCGAGAACGCACAACCTCCACATGACATTACATCCACATCACAATCACCACCCTATATTGTCCAATCACAGAACATCACATCACTAGATCCCAATTTCACTACTCGAAAATCACACAACAAAAATAAAACTCCACAAACTAAGAATCATCTCATCACCGACTTACATTGAGCAGAAGTTCGAACACATGATGAGAGAAAAACACAGGAGATAGAAACACACTGACATCAATGGAAGGATGATTTGTTTCACATAACTTGCGATGAGATGTGTGCAATCCAATCACATTGATAGACATGATGCAGAAGGAATGGAGTAAGGAACACCTACGAGTAGAGTGGGGTAGCGAGACGGGCGGAGGATTGACGGCAGTGATTGTTGTGGGATGCTGCGCAATGGCGACACTAAAGTTGGTTAGGAGACGCGGCTGTGGAGAGAAAAGGGTTGTTCACAGATGGTCGGAAATGAGAGAGATGGGTTGCAATATTATAGTGTCATTCTATGTTGTGTGTCTTCAGGGAACCCAAGTCATGACTGGTCGTCTTAGCCTGACTCCCGCAAATGCCAGGCACATCATGGCGCCTGCACAACTCTGGGTGGTCTCAGAGGCCAGCCCTCATCCCATCTAGTCGTAGTGGGATACGTATCTATCTTAACAGTTTTGAGCGCCTCACTTCCTCTAAATACGTATCTATCTTAACAGTTTTGAGCGCCTACATCATTTGTGTGTGTGTTTATCAGTTTTGCCAAACTCAATTCCAAGTGTAGCGGTTCTCAATGTCTTCTATTTTGCCTCCAGCTGTTTCGGGCCCTTGATTAGTTTAAGAGATCGTGTCTATTTCAGGCTGTTATTTTATTTTTGTTTTATTTTTATTTTGTTCACTAGGTTTCAGTAGACGTCTACTTTGGTGGTTAGGGCCTTAAGAACAGATCATGTCGCAAGGTACGTTTGATAAACTATCACAAACTAGCGATAGTTTTCTGCTATAGTAGCCGACACGGCAATTTGGAAGATCTGGAAAAACCTAAGGCTAAAGAGATTCGCCGTGAAATGTTTAGAATCATTGTAAGCAGTTTGCAAATCTAACGAAGAGTAAAGCAAACGCCATCACTAATCATGCCGAATTTTCGGAAAATCCAAGGACGTCTAGTTGGAGAATTTCCCTTTTGTGCAATAACTTGAACAAAACTACACAAGAAATCAAACTCTACAATCTTCAATTGAAGGTACAGAAAGTATCAACTTTATTTAGCTGTCTTCTTGTATAATTGCACCAGACTTCCATAATAAATTTGTGACAAAAACCCAAGTCATTTGCACCGTCATCGCGACACAGAATCCCTGCAAAAGCATGGAGGAGGTAACATAAGAGCCTAATCCATTACATCTTACTTCAACTAAGTGTTTATAAAGATGTGCACAAAAAAAAAAAAAATCATTCTTGCATACATTGCAAACAAGCTCTTCTCCAGAGATTGACAAGAATTCGATCAGACTTTCCTATTTATATTATTAGCCTTTTGAAATTTAAAAGAGTTTGATTACCATTGATCTATTTCCATGTCTTCGTACTGATCCAAGTAGAATCGAGAGGAGCAATTCTCAACTCGAACGTGCTTAAAGTTGTTCTTTAGCAAGAGCAGGAGCCATTTCTGAGGCACCAGTGCGTTAAACTAGTGTGTGATGTCATGTGCGACCGGAAAGAGGTAGACAAATTATCCCTTTTTTATGAGTATGGTCGAAAGTTGCTGATTTGGTTGCAGAAGTGTTGCCTTGAGAGCTTGATTTGGTAGGCTTCCCGATTGCCTGGCCATAGCCTTGTTCCAACAAAGACGCACCTGGGAGCATTGTCAAGATTTAGGTTTCTATTACTCAGCTTTTGAGTTAGTTGCTCCACTCATGCCCCTCTCTCTCTCTCTCTCTGGTGCAAGTCAACATTAGCCGGGGCAAATTCTCAATGTCTCAAGTTCCGCTACTACGATGATTTGATATTGTGAATATGGTCATAGTTGAATTCCGAGGAGGATCTGAGTAGGTGCTTTTCGACTTCAACGGCTTTCGGCAGTTAAGATGTCACAGAAGATCATGGCCAAGCTTGTTTTTAATATAAAGTTTTAGTGGATGCTGGAATCCGACATCAAGTCAACTTCATCATGTTGTTGATCGAGTTCACTCTCGATTGCTGATTGCATGCGGTTGCATGTGCATTCTCGCCAATAAAATAGCAATTTACAGTGAGCTACAAACGTTATGCAAATATCTCATGTTTTTATTGTTGTTGAGAATAGTGACGATTGAACAACCATGTTATAGTCTTCATTAGAGTCTGATGGTAGCTAGCAACCTAAAGAAAGGCTGTCCGTAGCAAGAAAATAAACGGAGATGGAATTCACGAAACATCTACACAGTAGAGCATGACAAGCAGAAGTTTTTGGGGTATGATCAAAACGTCGTGTCATCCACCCAATTTACTCTGGCAGAGACATCCTTGCACCAACTTCCACTTGTCATGTGAGTGCTCCGATTCTCAAACTTTTCACACATTTGTAAGCATCTCTTGTGTTTTGATTTAAGTTGCTGCACCGCCAGGATTACCAGCCTCTTCACTGCGCTTGCTGGCGGTCTCTGCCTCTTCAAAAGCCAACTTTGCCCCACTGTGCCGTGATACTTCTTTCTGCTCGACATGCTCACCTTGTGACGTGTCGTATTTCACATCGACAACTGCGTGGCAGAAAAATAAATTAGTTTATTTCATTTCACCCATGTGCATGCACCTCGTCTCGGAATCGAATAACAGTAGATTGGGTTACGATTCAGGGCAATAGGACTTTCATTTGGGTGGAGGGCTATGAATTCTGTAGCAATTCTTACCCGTCTTACAAACCTTGAATTTGATTGCAGATATGTAACTTGATGAAAAATACAAAAAGCAAGAGAAAGGATTAGAGTATGAGTTACCACTTTCATACTTCTGGTCACGCTCGGCGGTTTCGCCTCGTTGCAGCTCCGTCGAGTCGCCCTTCTTCGATAGTACGCCCTTCACGGCTTCGCCATATCTCTCCCCATAACCCTCTTCGGAGGATCGGGTGGCGTACGCATCTCCGTAAGATTTGGCCAGGTCATCCCTGTTGTAATCCAGTTCAGGTTAACCAGATTGCCATTTCGAAATGAACAGCACAATCTTAGTCAAATTATGATTGCTTCCTACAGTTTACTATACCTTCACACTGAGTAATTTGGTTACAAATGGTCATAGAGGTAGAGCCGGAAAGCAAACCTGAAAGCCTCGCGCTCGGCGGGATTAGCCCCAGGAGACTCCTGACTTGCCATCCCCACAGCCGGCGTTCTTCCATACCCAACACCTCTCGCTCCCAAAACGACGCCCTCGAACCGAGGCCACAACCCCGACGCCCTCCGCATGGTTACCAAGTTCAAAACCCCCGTGAACCACACTCAATGAGCTCAACCCAATTCAATCTACACACGCTTTCTCGCTGGATCGACAGAATCCACTGACTGCAAGACCTGCTTCTAGTGTTGTGATCGAAAGGCTGAAATTCCACGGTACAAAACTCTCCAACGATTCAGAATTAGAGCGTGTGCAGAAGTCTTCAATCTAGTCTGATCGTCAAAACGGTGTGGATGTGAAGAAGAATCTTAACTAATGGGACATGGCATTGCCATGCTGGAGTATGTGGCCATACACACAAATTGTAACGTGTCGATCAGTGATGAGCGTTCAAGTGGAGCTGACACTTGGAAGGTCAGCTTTTCTATGCTAATTTTTTACTAAATACAGGTTCCATGATGCCAGCAATCTAATGGACAGAATTCTCAAACCTTCACTGCATAGATGGTTCGGTAGGTGTTACATTCACGCAACATACTGAAGAATCGATCTCTTGTTACAGATAAATTAAGTGGAATCTTCAAATCACTGATTCAAATCTTGAGACTCTTAGGGTAAAGCCGAAGTCATTTCCAGAATGAATCTATTGCGAATTTTTTTTTGCAGAATACTCCAGTGAGCAATGAATTGCTCTATAAAAATAAGAATATAAACAGAAATTGCTCCTTGAATCAGCTCATCAAATGATCCTAGCAGTTGACTGGTTGAGAGGAGAAAGAACAAGATTAAAGACTGCACTCTGCAGGAATCTAGGAAGGTATGCGAGCATAGGAAGCTGTTATTGATAATGGTGAAGTATTGTAGTGATAGAGAAGATTTATGTAAGAAATAAATTGCATCAGAGCTGCGGGTTGTGGTATACTAGTGTTGGTCCCTTAATCATCCATGTTCATGAGTCTTCGAATGGAGACACTTTGATGGAAGCTCAGGCGTCATATCCCAACACTTTCAGAACGCAAATTTGATGATAAGGCTTTATACCAAGGCATAGAGAAAAAGAAAAAAAACAAACACTCACTGCCCAGCAAATAGTAAACAATGCCAAGAGCATTTACTTCGAGACAGTGCTGGAATTCCAGAGTTTGACACATGGTGCTTGGCTATGTCACACAGTAGAATTTATGCAACTAATTATCCACAATTCAGTGTCGTTGACATGAAAACCACTTAACGAGTGGTCTACTTTCTACAAGATCATTGAACGCTATCACCTACCTCAGTGCCAGGACTGAGGCAATTACGGATTACAGTTAGTGAAGACGTTGGTGTTGAGGAATTCGTTGCGAAACTTTCCCTTCGGATCGTACTTAGCAGCGAGCTTGACAAAATCAACCAACTTTTCGTACTTCGACTGGACTAGGGCAGGCGACATAGCGAAGAGCTTACCCCAGTGAGGGCGAGGATCGAATGGAGCCAACTTGCTTTCGATGATGGGTAACAGGCGCTGAACTGCCGGCCAGTCGTTTTTCCAGCAGAAGTGGATCGCCACGGAGTCACGGCCATAGCAAGTGCTCATCCACAGATCGTCTGCCGCGATCGTACGAATCTCCGATTCGAAAAGGATCGGAGAAATTTGATCGCGCAAACGCTCCATGGATAAGATTGCAGCAGCAGCATGATGGCGGGGCATGAAGTACTCAGACTGGAGTTCGTCGCCAACGCCAGGCAGGTAACCCTCGCGGAAGTGAGGAAGACGCTGGTATGAGGGCCCTGGTACTCCCAATTGCTCGGTGCATCTCTCAGCCGCCATTCCGCGGACTACGTTTACGTTTTCAGTGAGCAACTTCGCTCCAAAAAACTCATGCGGCGCCTCAAATGTTTGGCCATCTTCGACACGGACCTTTAACCACATCTGGTACATCCGCTGATCCTGCCAATCAGTGAAGAGACTGACAGTGTACCCGCTACCCATAATGGCATCGAAGTGATCTATAACCTGAGCTAGCGGTAGATCCTTGTACACGAACTGCCGCATTGTGAAAGCTGGGTGAATATCTAATGTGATCTGAGTGATGACACCGAGAGCACCAAGCCCGACCACAGCTCCAGAGAAGACTTCACCATCAGATTGCCGAGAGAGCTTCACTATTTCCCCATTGCCAGTCACCATCTCCAAAGCAGAGACGGAGGTGGCGAGATTACCATTCTTATTGCCTGATCCATGTGCAGCAGTGCTGATTGCACCAGCAATCGAGAGCTCTGTGAGCGACGCCAGGTTTTGCAACGCAAACCCCCGGCTGTCGAGAAAGGAGCAGAGTTGCCCATACTTAATGCCCGCGTCCACAACTACTGTGCGGGTTGCTTCATCTAGGTGCAACACTTGGTGCAACGACCTCAGCGAGAGCCGACTATGGAGATTGTCCGCAATGAAATTGAAGGTATGGCCTGTGCCGGCGGTTGTGACCTTCTCTTGCGACTGCAGCAAGGCTTGAATCTCCTCGATTGAAATAACCTCATGGAGAGTATTCGTTCCGTAAACGATGTTTTGCGCCCAATTCGTTTGCAGGTTCGGCTTCAGGATCCTGGCTGGTAGAATGTCCGCTTCTATGTTGTTTACGACAACCATTTTGGATTACTTGATGTTACCTGAAACGCGGCAATACAAGACAAGTTCAATGAGATACAACAGTCGCTCGCTACTCAGCACTAAATGAAGTTTAAGTCGAGGTTTTAGAAGTAGGTCAAGCCCCATCCAAGAGTTAGGGACGAGTAAACAGAGATGCACATTAAAGCTTGTATTGCAAGCTTAGAATTGAATTTATGCTACTGAACAGTGAGTTATCAACCCGTGGTGCCACAGTTGGTATGAGAAAAGTCACAAACCGTAGAAGTCTTCAGATGATGCTGTCGAGTTGAGGACGAATCACATGTGAAAGTAGTTAGTCAAGGAATTCTTGCCCATCCGGTCTTACTTGTATCACCAACACACGCCAATCACCCCGTTCGGTGCACGAAAATAAACGGTAAATACAGGAAGGCACTTTAATAATCTGTATCCATAACTTGCGAAACTTCCGCTACCAAGCTCGAATTGATTTCCCCAAAAATGTCACGCGGCTCCCCAATCCTGTTAGCTTCATTATTTCGAACTCCACTAGAATACAGGTGAGTAAATTTGATGGGTATCACTAGAAGTAACAAGTGTCGGCGTTGAGACCTGTCCACACACAGCAAACACTCCCACCGCAAACTTCACAGTTACTTCAGGCCTGTCGGAATGGTTCGTGACTGCAACAAAACACCCGATAAATGCAATCTCGGAGATTTATGAATGTTTTGCAACCTTTTGAAATTGTAGGTAGAATGACGTAGCGCACAACGATGTGCGCTGTAATGACGTGGAGAGTAAAGCTTGTATCATGCAATTCGCAGTTGAAAAGAGGAGAATGATTAAAAAGTCTGACAATTGCCAATACTCCCCGAAATTCCTCTCGCCCCTGTATCCGTTTGCGAACTCAAAACAGGGAGGAACCCCAAATTGAAATCACGAGGTCTTCTAACGAAGGAATCAGCTCATTACAAGCAAATTTTGTGTGCTCCAAACAACAATAACACAAATAACAGATGAGAAATCTGCACCTAGAGTAATCCAACCTAGTTCCCACAGTGCTGCTACTAGCAAACAAACAAGAATTCCAGCTTTCGATCACCTTCTCGCCTTAATGAATTTCACCAGAGACCATTTGGTTACCTTGGAATAGCTGCATAAGTGAGTCGATAACAATTCTAGGAAAGCCACAACGCCCAACTTCAACAATCTTGCTGGGGCTCCGATATGATAATCATCGTGAGGAGTGTCTACGTCTTCAAAATATAAGATGAGCAGTTCAGTTGAAAATTTCTGCAATAAGGAAATCCAACTAGTTCAGAAACTCCCATGTGAGCTGAGTGTAACGACACCATTGAAAATGACCACTGTGGCAGAGAGCGAAGATATTTGAATAGAAAATGGTAGCTTTTCATCGACTTGATTGAATCCTGCAGTGGGAATCTTCCACTACATGGGAACATTCTGAGGAACTACAACAAAAGCTTAAGCTATACTTTAAGCCCTAGATTCGCTAATTGAGATCAGACAAAACCTCAGGTAAGGCCACACACCGGCTTCATCCAAGCAGCAGTGGTTCAATAAGGCAAAATCTAGATAATGCAGAAGCGACTGAAAAATATGGTGGATGCATATCTCCTGTTCTTATTCACGTGGAAGAAAACAGGCTATGTAGTGAGTGTAACCGTGTCCTGTGTGAAGGTAATAGACAGAAGGACAAGACGAGCATGAAAAATATTCAGAACCATCTGGGGATACACCATGGAGAAGAAGCATACTACCCCTCTTTCACCCAATCAATCCAGTTAACCACCAGTATGCCAACGATGAAAAAATGAGTGTCCATTTCACTCGATGTGCAGCTGAAATATAAATGAATTAAAGCGCGGCCATACTCATAAATTTCGAAATGAGATATATGAACATGACTAAGCCAGTATCTCCACTAAAGTCAGGCCAATGTGACCATGTAAATAAACAAAAGAGCAAAAGAAGGATGCCTATTAACTTCAAGGTGAAACAAACATGCTCAAAATCTTAGCGGACATAACAAAACTGCCTAAATGCCACTTCTTCATAACAAAAGGTCCATTAGACTATTTGCCATAGAAACTAAAAGCAGACGGCCACGCACTTGAGATGGTGAATAAAATGGACTATCTCGCTACTCCTCTGCAATCACCACTCATGTACTATGCCAAACAGACAGCCTGTAACCTATGATCTACCAAAAAAACAAAGGAGGCAGAACTTGGCCACTTAAACACTTGGAGAGCATGCTCAAGAACAAGTTCAAGAGCACACACAGTGCAAATGTCATCATAGCATCCCCCAACCAGCCTACGATGAACTTAAAAAAAACAACAAGCTTCTACAATTAACTGCGGCGTTTCTCGCCTACAAACAAACAATGGTTCCGTGAGATGCACAAGCTCTTCTGAATGATTGCTACAGGTTCCCATCTATATAGTGAAAAGACTCCGTACGAGTATTGAATAATCTGAAGCCTACTCATATGGGCGACGTAAAGGAAGACCTCTCTTTCCTGGAAAGTCATCGTCTGAACGTCCATGAGATGAGCCCCAGTTTGACTCATTGGATCCAGTACCATAACCTCTGCTGCCACTGTTAAAACCGTTGTAATCGTTTCCTTGACCACCAGTGTAAACTGGAGCCGGGGCTTCTGCAAGGCGAGAAAATGGCGCATCCTTGCCATGATAACCTCCAATATTCCCATTTATGGGTCCTGCGTGATAACCAGATGACCCGTAATTCTGGCCAGGACGAATGCCTGAACTGACTGAACCACGTTGATTGCCACTATTTGTGCGATTCATACCCCCGACGATTGGAGAACCTAAGCTTGTGGACCTAGAGAAAGCTTGCACCAGCTCCAAAGCCGAGGCAGGAGCAGTGTAACCGAGCCTGCCAGAATTCTGGCGGTTGGAAGAATCGAGCAATGCAGAAGGAGCTGGAGCAGGTGCAGGAGGAGATGCAGGCCGGCGCCAACTATCCTGTTTGTCGATATCACGTTGAGAGTCTTGGCCATCACGGTTTCGACTCTCCTGACGATCATAAGACCGATTACTCTCAAATCTGTCTCTGACGTCATGCTTGTCAATATCTCCACGTCGATAATCCTTAGAGTCACCAGGGACACGGCTCCCATCTTGCCTCTCTGGAAAAGCAGAGCTTTGCTTCTCCATGGAGCGGGCACCACGAGGTTCATAGCGCCTAGTTGACTCTTGCTTTTCATCACCCCAATTGTTGGGAACTTCCGTCCGCCCACCATCTTGCCGCTCAGACTTGCTGGGACTGAAGGTGAAGAAGCAACACAAGGCGATCAGCATGTATTCCTAACAAAACAAAGGTCAAGCGAAAGTGTCGGTGGTTAAGTTCAAGGAAGATCACAAAATGCAAGGAAGGATACATACATAGCCGCGACAGGTGTTGGAGCAGCATCATGAACTATGGGGTTATCGACACCACGCTCTTTGAGAACCTACAGGCACTCAAAATGAATCCCATTAGCAATGACAAAGTCGCAAATTGGATAAAAAATCAAACCAAACTCCAACTTGATTCAGGTACACTCGACCGATATAAGAGGAATCTTAAGAACACAATACATTCAAAACAAAGGAACCACAGCGCACGAAGAGCTACAGTAAATCAAAATTATTTGCAACAGGCAGTTGGCTCACAAGCTCTCGAGGACGAGCACCACCAAAAACTGTTTGCCTGCACGTTTCCATGAGAAACCAACAATTGGTTAAAATACTCTGGTCGAACTCCTACACCCTAAAAGATAGACGCGACAAAATGGTATAAACACTATTATTAGAGAGGACATTGAAAACCTGTTTACCAGTTCATTAAGAGGTTTCGTAAACATTTGACTACTAAAGAAGATGCAGCCCAACACATACCTGACGTTGCCGTCGAGATCAACCCCAGGCTCGGCTGGCTGGGACCGAGGCTTTAAGTTAAGCTTAGGACGTTCAGATGGTCGGCTGAGATCTTCGTTACTAAGCGAGTTTCCCAGATTACTATCACCTCCATCGCGACCTTCGCCCTTGATAACATCCAGCGTTAGAACCTCAGCGGGCCTCTTTTCTTCCACCTCGAGAACACGATCCTTCGAGCTCTCCTGCGCAAAAAGAAAAAAAGAAAAAAGAAAAAAAGTAGACAACGAACTTGAGAAATAACCTAAGTGAATATCTTATGCGAAAGATCGCTCGCAAAACCCCAGATGCAGACGTCGAGAAGAAGAACGGGTGGTTTTCGTACCTCGGTTACTGCCCCTTCGGTACCAACTGGAGCAGCAGACTCCAGGGGTTTAGTGCGAGGCAGTAGCTTTAGGCGTCGCCTCTCTGCAACAGGAGCAGCAGAGACTGGTCCTCGAGAGGCATCTGCAGGACCAGAATCTGATGAACTGTACCCACCTCTATTTCCGTCCACAAGCGGAGGAGACCGTGAGCCATTTGAAACAAAAGGACTTCTGCTTCTATCCTGACTTTCACCATAAATAGTGGCACTATTATCCACTCCATACCCACTTTCTCGAAGGTAAGGGCCAGGTGCAGAACCTTCCGCAGAATAGTTTCCGCGGAAACTAACTGGGCCATGTGAATCTCGAGGGCCTTCGGTACTGTAGGCACTGCGAGGATTGTCCCCGTAGTTACCTCTCGCACTTCCGTAACCAGATCGACCTCTTTCATTGTAGGCACCTCTCGCTACATTGTCCTGGCTACCCCGACTAGCTTCAGTATAGCCACCACTGTTATTATCCACAGGCTCCCGCTCCCTGCTGCTTTCGATGTATTCCGGTCTCGGTTGATCGCGAATATCCCGACGACCATTATCCGGATAATCCACACCACGATTAAGCTCTCCACTGTAACGACCAGTGTCTGGATACACAGTCCTTCCAGAATCTGAAAATGTGATGCGCTCAGAGTTCCCACTTCTTAGAGGTTCGTCGAACTCGAGAGACCTCTCATCGCTGACTCTCCGGCGGTCTTCACTGTAACTTCCACGATTATGCTCTTGATAGGCACCACGCCCTCCCACATCTACATACCCGTCCCCATAAGGACGTCTACCAGTGTCCGAATAGGCCCCACTTCCGCTATCCAAGTAAGCCCCTCGTCCAGGGTTCTCATGACCTGCTCTGTTGCTCTCAGGGTACGTACCTTGAGCAACATGTTCTACACGGCTGTCGGAAACGAAAGCAACTGCACTTTGCTCTGCAGATGGACGCTTACTGCCATGGTCAGAAAAGACAGATCCACGAATCGGATTCAGCTCAGCTGCATGAACAGGTGCCGAGCGATCAGGTTCGGACTGCCAACTACCTTGAGGAGCCTTCTCTATGGAAGCAACGTCTGATCTTGTCGGAGTAGTCTGCGCTCTCCACGGAGCTGCACTCCTGTTCTCATTGTGCATAGATTCAGAGGTGCGAGTGCTAGTCCCATCTTGGCGAGCTGGCCAGACATTAGGACCAGTGGATCGAGAGGCAGCTATTCCTGCAGCAGGTGGCTGCTGTAATTGTTGCCTCCAATTGCTGGGTGGAGATGCTGGTCGAGTGCGGAGCAGATTTTGTTGAGATGCCTGCGTATAAGACGACTGATTACCACTAACAGGGGGAACCTGCTCTGTCACATACGCGGATGCTGACTGTTGTCTGTAACCCTGCACAATAATAGAGTCGTAAAATTTTGTGAAGTTGAAACCACCGTCGTGAGCTGTAAAAGTTGTTGCACTGTTGAAATAGATCCGAGATCCTAATTGATTGACTCTCGCCAATTTAGATGTACAATGTAAGGACCACATCGTCTGTAAAACAGAAGATTACTTCATAATTCTAAAACATACCTGTCCGTCTCCCTGTCCGTAGTTGCCAGTATCAGTAACTCGACCAAATGATCGCGTCGGCGCATAGCTCCCCTGCTCCTCCACAGAGAACCGATCAACCGGTTTTTCATAGCTAGAATGAGGGCGCTGATCCTCGTAACTATGGTCTTCGTAACGGTCTGCGTGACCACTGCGGGGTCGACCGTCCACTGGCTTCCTTTCATCCTCCTCGTAATTCCGGCCAATGTTTGCTGGGTTTGGGAAAAAGGATGCCTTATCTTCAAATGTCCTAACTCCATTGGTTGTACCCTGCCTGAAATGTCCGACACCACGATCATTGCCTCCGTAACCTCTTCCAAGAGAAGGGCTGCTCCAAGCGCCTGAGCCCTGCCTTTCATACGCGCTCCGGTCGACAGTCCTGAAGGTGACGCACAGTAGATTGCAGACATTCATCAACCACTTGATCCAAACAAGAGACGAGGACTTTCACTTATAAATGCGTGAGATAGTGCGCTTTGAAGGCAGCTAAAAAGTGTCGCTTTTCAAAGAACACTCTCACACCACGGAAAAATGTAGCCGCACGCGAAAACTTCCATTAATAAAGATTCGTTACCATTGCAGTAAAAACAAGATATCAAGAAGAGATAAGGAAGCGCCCTGCTCGTGATCAATTGCATCAGACTGTAGATCGAGAGGTACATGCAGGCTTACATTCCAGGGGCAGATGGCAAGGGCAGATCTGAAGGAATCGAACCGCCATGGAAATCCTTCAGTGTCATGACAGCCCGGGGCATTTTCTTCTTTGACATTTTGTTGTCCTTGTTTCCCACCTGACCCGCCGTCTTTAATACTACTAGACACGGATGCAAGGAACTGAAACAAGTCTACAGAAGCTGGATCCTAATCACAACTATCAGTCTGAATAAGAACTTATTGACCTAAAGAAGCAAAGAAAACTTCGAGCGTCAACAGGACGAATAACAATGAAATAGAACTCAATCTACTCCACGCTGTATGATTTGAACTGTAATTAAAAGCTCAATGGTACATAAGCAAGCGAGAGGGGGGGAGAGAGAGGTCGCAGGGGCGACGCTCCCGATGCATAAACGGGAATCAAGAAAACATCCAAAAACAGAGTAGTGAAATAAGAGACTTCACATAAACAACGACACAGGCCAAGAAAGCACACAAAACAACCCGATCAACCGATTATAACTTTCCTGCAACCTAACGTCACACACAAATACTCCAACAAATCAAAAACAAACAAACTAAACTAAACTAAAAACAAACAATCAAATAAACAAAACAAAGCAAAAAAATAAATACAAAAATAAATACAAAAATAAATAAAAACTCGAGCAATCACGAGCACGAATGTCCAAGACCCAAGGAGCAACCGAAAACGATTGACCCCAGACCCTACCCAGAAGCAGCACACACGTAGAGCCACACCAGAAACCAAAGCCGCGGCAAAAAATTGGGAGGAGCCACTTACAGAGCACCCTAACCCTCAGTCCTACGGAAAAACCCTATGTAAATGATTCGCAGCACCACGCGGCGCACAGGAATCGAAATAACTAGTCAAAAGGGGAGAAGAGGAGGGGGACAAGAAGGGAAAAAAACGAAGAAAAATGACACGGCAGGACAGCGCCGCAGCCAGCAGCAAAGGGAGGAAGGAGTGGCACTGCGAAGACTAGCAGCAGCAGCAGAGGCAGGAGGCGAGGCTAAGACAAGAGCGGCAGGGAGAGGAAGGGGGCGGGGGTGGGTGGGGGAGGCGGGAAAGGGAGAAGGGGGACAGTCGAGGAGGGGGGGATGACAGAGAGAAAGAGAGAAAAGGCAGTTGGAGTGGCGGGGAGGTGGGTTTGTAACAGAAGAACGCGCACGCAGCACACAGCGAAGGGGGTGAGCGAGCGAGCGAGTGGGGGCGGGCGAGCGGGGGAGTGAGAGAGGGAGCGATACGCAAAGTCCCGAGGGAGAGCGATCGCTGAGTCACACACCCCACGGGCACAGGGCCGCATTCGGGAGAGAGACGGGTTAACGCCTCCAACGCCTACAAAGGCGGTTAAGATAATCTCTCCCCCCCCACTGTCCACCTGGGCAGGGCCCCCCTATTTCCGCTCCGGCTGTACCCTTATTATGAATTCCCCCGCGGCATCTACCACCCGCTCACACTTCCGTCGGGTTGTGATCTTATTCTTCTTCTTCTTCGCAGCGAATGTTCCACCGTGTGGATGCACCCGCCACTGATGGTATCAGCCAGAATCGGAAGAATGCGGGGGGGGGGGGGCTCTGCATCGATGGCAGAATCTTGCATAGCTAGCTAGTTGGGTTGAAGAAGCTTTCTAGGGTCGATCGCTGGTAAACCCACACTCGAAAGCCCTACTACTACTACTTGCTCCCCCACCCTACTCGTCGTCGTCTTCGTCGTGTGCCTCTGCTTGGTCCTCCCACTCCTCCTCCTCGTGGTCGTCGTGGTCCTTCGTCGTGATAAGTTCCTGCATGCGGATTCGGGTTTGGAGCCACTCTCGTGTGCCTGCTCCGAGGCCCAGCATCATCATCGTGTAGATATGTATATTATTTTTTTCCTGAAGGCAATGCTATGCAATGCTCTATTATCTCTTTATGCATCTCCTTTATATTGTATTGTAATGGGTCTTCGTCATGGTGCTGGACAGGATGAAGATTTACATAAGATATAAAGTGTATTAGTCACCGCCCCAAGGTCCTAGCATGCTTAATTGACTAAGTCATGTATTTGAATTCACTCTGTTGTTCTATTTCCACATATTTGTGCAACGTGTAAAAAAATAATGGATGCTACAAATAATTTTAACTATCATTAATGGTAAATCAATAGATGTGATTAATTCAGTAAAGAGACATTTGAGTATATCTAGCATATGTTTTGTAATGTAAGTTCATTGCTAAAATTTAAACAATTGTTATCTTTCAAATCTAACAATTCCCATACAGTAGAATGTTGAATAAACATGCAAGAGATGTACAATTTTTAGAATAAATGGAGGCACATAGATAGACATTGTTGTCTTAAATATATAAGGGAAACACAAATATGAATTATTAATTATAGAATTTTTTTGATTAACTTATATCACTTGATTTTTGTTTTTAAATTTTATCTAGGTAGTAAACATGCACTAAGGACTCAACTGTAATTTATATTTCTATTTGTAATGATCATTTCTATAGCAAACCACTTTTACACTAAAAAGAATTTAAATTATAATAGTGTATACAATTATATTTTAAATTTTAATTTGTGAATGAATTTTTGTATATATATATATATATATATATATATATATATATAATTCTTATAGTTTTGTAATTTCAATTTAAGTATTATATTTATACTATTCATAATGTCTTCAAATCAAAAAGAATTTTAATTTTTAAAATTTTGTGACCAATTGTAACATTACATACTTTGTTTAATAATAATCTAACAAGAAAAATAAAAATAAAAACAAATTAAAAGATCAAAGTAATTAATTATATATATATATATATATATATATATATATATATGTGTGTGTGTGTGTGTGTGTGTGTGTATTTTATTATTATTAAAAAAAACATTCATACTATTTGTATCAATATTTTTATTATTTCTTGTAGTAAACATTGTTTTTGTAACCTTTTCAATTGAATCTATAGATAAAATAACTAATTTTGAATAATATTGCAATTTTTTGGAAACAAATGATTGTATAAGCTCATCTTCGTTTTTGAATATCATATATGACCTTATATGACATTATACAAAGTTTTTATTTATTTGATACAAAAATAAATAAATAATTTTTTAAAAAAATAAGTGAAGATAATTAATAATTTGATAAATCAACTATTATTATATTATCTTAATAAAAATACAAATAGTTATATGTACAAAATTACATATTAATACAAATTAAATAATTTAAAATAAAATTTTAAATTTATATTGAATAAATTATCATATATATAATTTAAATACTAAAACATGTATATGATGTTAATAATAAATTAAATAAAAAATAAAAATTGTAATTAGTACATTTGATTCATTGTATTTTTATTTTTATTTTTATGCAAATAATTGGATGCTATGTAAATATGTCTAATTGGATGCTATGTAAATATATCTTCCTCTCTTTTGGATATCTTGGTACCTCCCAAAGTTCTTCTCAACCAAAAATGTAGAAGTTTAATCTATTTCCTTAAGAACTTAAAAATAAATTCTTCTTATTTTTACTTAGAAATGCAACTTAAAGTTTTGGAAGGGGATATCAAAATATCCAAGAAAAGAAGATTATCAGATTATTATTATTATTATTTACTATTAACTTATCAATAATTTGATACAACATACATTTTATTTAAAATTATATAGTTAAAATATATCATTATTTTCTTATTTTAAATTAAATATTTTATTTTATAAGATAATTAATGATATATATTTTTTAATTTTATATGTGTCATATTTAAAGTGTTACCAATTCTATCACAATTTTTGCTATTACAATAATAGTTTTTTGCTATTACTACTACAATTTGCCATAAACTCAATATATTTTTTTTTAGTTTTTTTTGTTAATATTTCCAAGATTTATCTATTTATATATCTATATCCATATAAATTTAATTTTTTAAAATAATATTAAAAATAAATCTAATTTCAAATATATTTATAATTTAAAAAGTAAAAATCAAACTTAATCATATTACTATTATTTTACTATTTAATATGTACAAAATAAAATTTTATTCTAAAATTCTAACACTAAATAACACATGAAATATCATCCATTTTTTTATTTATTTTTAATTTTTTATAATATATGAAATTTATTTAAACTACAATCATAAATTTTGTTGAAAGAAATATATATATATATATATATATATATATATATAGTATACTTCTGAATTTTAAATATATGTATATATATATTTAGTAATTATTATAATAAAATATAAATAATACTAAAAAAAATAATACAAAATTTATTTTAATTAATATTTTAGAGCCATAGAGAAGTACAAGCATAGGTTTATAATTTCACCTAAAAGGTTCTTTAATCAATTTAATTATTTTTTGGTCATTTATTAAGGCTTTAGAAAATACTTAGTATACAAATTCTATTAAAAATATTATTATGGACATCCAATGAGAGTATTTTAGAGATATTTTCAAAATATTCTATTAAGTTTTAGAATATTCTAATAAATTATTAAAATATTCCAATATAAGATTTTAAAATTATTTTTAGAAAGTTCTAGAAGGTTTTTAGAATATTTTAGTAGATTCTAAAAAATTCTATAAAAATCAAGGAAGTTGCCTCAGAAGCTTCTTAAGGTTGCTTCATCTTTAAGCAATATAAAAACTTCTCAAGAAGTTTCTTAAGATTGCTTTGTCTTTAAGCAATATATGAATTTTTTGAAAATCTTCTTAATACTTATATATATATATATATATTAGAGTCAAGGTTAAGGAGATTCTTAATCTTAATAACACATTTCTTGGAGTTCTAATTTACTTCTTTTAATCTTGGTGTTATAATTATTTGGTTTAATCAAGTTTATACTAGCTTTCTTGTTAAAACTCTTTTGTTCAACTTCTTGTTTAGTCTCTTGTATAGTGTATCTATGAGAATTTATCAAGACTATCCTCTTATCAATATTAAAGCTTGATTCTTCTTGATAGAGAGTAGATTATCTTTCTTCTTGAAGGTATCAAAGCGCTTTAGAGGTTGCTGGGTACCTTCTTCTAAATTGATGTTGTTTAAAAACCTTTCTTATTTTCTTTTAAGATGATTAGATGTAAAGATGTTAGTATGGTTGAATCTCTTAAGTCCAAGTTAGATGTTATTATAAATACAATGAATGTGTTATATCTTAGAACTATTGAAATTAGAATTTTTTTTATAAGATTTTATGGTGATGCAAAACTTGAAGCATTCTATGACTTTCAAACCTATTATTCTAGGATTTTAGTAGTTAGAAAGATATAATCCATCTATAGATTCGAGGTTTCATAAGGTATAATTTCCAATAAAATTTCTTTAGGAAAAACCTATCAAGAAATTATTAACAACACAGCCTTTATTTTTGAGAGCAAGAGCTTTAATGAAGACATCTAATAAAGAAATTCTATTTGTTATTTATGCAACTCCAACTAATGAAGAAGCAAGCTAGCTAGAAGCTATCTTAGAGAAATATAAAAAATTGTAAGATGTCTTTGAAAAAAAATACTAATATATTGTTGAAGCATCAACTGAATGTTTATCCCATTGATCTTCAAGAAAGGGCTCAATTATCATTTGGTCCAATCTACAACCTATCACAAAATAATCTTTTGGCATTAAATGATTATATCAATGAAAATCTTGCAAAAAACTTTATTTGACATCCAAAATCTCTAGCAAGTGCATTAATACTTTTTGTGAAGAAAAAAGATAGATCTTTGTGAATGTATATTGATTATCCAACTTCAATAATATATTGGAAATGAATCATTATCCATTATTGTTTGTAATAAGATAACGATAAGATAATTGTATTACTGACACATAAAAATAGATTATTAGAACTATATTTGAGAAGTTAAGGAAGTTTTGTCAAGGACATATACTAGGAAGTTGTAGAAGATTCTAGAAGGTTCTAGAGAAGCTTTGTAGTTTGTAGAAGCTACTTGAGAAGTTTTCAAGCTCGTGGAAGTTCCTTGAGAAGCTTCTTAGTTTGTAGAAGCTACTTGAGAAGCTTCCTAA